AATGGCTCCTGAAGACTTGTTGCTGCTTCCAGCATTTTGCAAGATGTTCCTGGCAATATAAATCAAAACAAGCTGTTGCTTTTCCAGGGCTTGAAGAGACAGAGATAAGTAGCACAGGGCAAGTGAGTGACCGCAAAATATTTAGAGGCGTGTGATAAGCCAGGCTTTTGCTACAAATCAGTGTTGTTTTCTAGGGCAAGAGGAAAAAGAGAAATGGAAGCAAAGTTTGACAAAACTCCTAGTATGAATTAAAGGAGGAAAACATTTCAATTTTTACAGGTACGAAAATAAATATTTTCCTCGTCGCACTGAAAATATAATTTCAAGGGAGAGTCTAGACAGCAGGCTGTGGAAGCCGTACAGATGACTGAGCCGTTGCCCTAACCCAGCGACATGCCCAGCCGGTGCTGCGGTGGCAGGCGCTGCGAGGGGCGCAGGGGGACGACGGCGTCCCTCACGGAGGGGCGGCAGGGCAGGGCGCTCGCTGCCTGGAGTGGCGGAATGGAGACAGACTTAATCTGCCAAAGTGTGCCTATGCGAGTCCTGCACTAGGGTAAATCCATATGCAGCAGCCTGGTTGTGCAGTGGTTGAATAAGTTTCTTTGTGTTGAAAATAGTGGCACTTTTTTTTTTTGTTCTATGAAAAGATGTTTCCCTCGTTCTTGTATGATAAGAAATGGAAATCTGAGCATCGGGCTGACCTTGGCTGTATTAGGCATAATTTTATGGGCCTTCTTCAGTTTTTTTCTCACTTCATTCACCTTTTCTCCAAATCAAATAGTCCTAACCTTTAATTTCTCTTCATCCTACAGTAGCTTCCTTCCAGAGACCAGTTTGACAAAACTTGCACTCTGGCCTTGGCTGCTGAGCTGTCACTGATTTCATATAACAGCGTTCATGATGGTCTCAGTTTTCTCTGTCCCATTCACAGTGCACTCGATTTGCTATATTTCCCGTCTCAGCAGACCAAGTCTGGGATTTCATTGAGCTGTCCACAGGGACGCTCAGATCCGTAACCTGAGTGGTCACGGTTCGTTTGAAATCCATCAGTGTGCATAAGTAGTTAAATTTGTTTCTTCTAATGTTCATTATCTTGCACTTGTCTACGCTGAATTTCATTTGCCATCGTCTTACCCAACTGTCTGGTTCTCTTAGGGCTGTCTGCACTGCAGGGTGCAGACCTCGGAGAAGGGTGCAGAGGTGTTTGTTCTTCTAAGCGCTCCCCTGCTTCAGGAATTTGCCGTGTTGCTGTGTCTCTTGAGTTGTTTCCCAATCCATTTAGATGGCTTGACCAAAACGCTGTGTGATATTGGGGACCAGTCCATGGTCTCTTGCCCTCTAAAACTCCTAAAAGGAGCCTTATAGAGGGAGAAGTGTGATCAAGCCTAGTATTAGAAGGTATCCAAATTTTACACAGAAGGATCTTGAGATCTGGGGATTGTCCAGTGCTTTGGATGAGATGTGGATGTGCCAGAATCTGCCTTTTTCAGCAGTTTTAGGGAGCTCCAGCACTCCTTCGTACAAGGCTGGGAGCATTTTATGGCTTCTTCATGATTTGGTCTATCAAATGGCTACCATAGACAATTTGTTAAACTACTTTTATTGTATAAACAATCCCGATTGCTTTATAAGCCAATATTTTACAGTTTCTAGGTTGTTTCCAACCAAAATCTCGTATCTAAGAGTTCAGCATGGGCTAGAACTGTGCCTGTCCTCCCTCCCAGTGGCCCTAGTGAATGGTCTTCAGGTGCTGGCATTGCCCGGGCTCTGTGGCGCATGAAGGCTAGAGGAAAAATAGGGGAGGAGAGGGATGGCCCAGGTGTTTTAGCTCTTGCGTGGGACTGGGGACAGTCACATGCAGCTTCCAACTTTATCACGGACTTCTGTGGGACTGGGCAAAGCTGGGCAAGGCACAGCAAGGAACCTGTTAAATCAGCTGCCTCTGTGTTTGTATGCGATAGTGATTGCTGAAAGGCTGAAGCTGTTCTTCCTCAAAATACTGTGTTTCAGCCACATTGGCTGGAGGCTGCTTTCAAACCCGCGTTGCCTGGAAGGATTTCCAAATGCCTGCAGTCTTGCACGTTCTGCGCAACAAGTGCTAAGGGGAATTTGGCTCTGCCTGTGCTATCAGGAACAGCAGCTTTCATCCCAAGTTCAGTCGGTGAGAATACCGAGGCTTGCAGTCTTCCTCGGAGAAGGCAATTACAACACCATGTCTGTGAGGGTTTCCTGCTTTCCTTTCCAAGCTCTTCCGCCATAACTGAGCCACTTCCAGATGTGTGGCAAACAACCTGCCTTAGCGTACCTGTGTCTGAACTTATTACCTTTGTCTAAACATGAGTTGGCTGCTCTCCCTGATGCTCTGATGCTTGTCTCTGCTCTAGATGACAAGGGCTCCCCAAGGAGAGAAGAACAGCCGGAGGGGTTTTGACGAAAAGGCTTACTTGTCCTCAAAGCTGCTGAAGGCCGGAGAAGACCCCTACCGCCAGCATGCTTTTAATCAGCTAGAGAGCGACAAACTCAGCAGCGATCGGCCCATTCGGGACACCAGGCACTACAGGTACCGTGCAGCCCTTGCTCCAAGCCATGGCTGCTGCTTGGCGTGGGGAGTCCACTGCCCTCCTGTGTTGTTCTGCAATGTTGACAAAGGATGGTTTGGGTTTTTCTTTGCCAGCGTCGGTCCGTTACTTCACTGTATTTCATGGTTAATCTGGAAAGGTCTCAAATGTGCAGAGACCCTTGACTAATTCGGCCCCAGCTTGTTGCTTTTCTAGCATCTCTTCTCCCAGGTCCAAGCATCATCTTGTTTTTTCAGCACAAATTGCTCATCTGACAGTTGTTTTTTGCACAACTCCCCTCACACTCATGGCTTCTTTCAGCGACCCTCTGTCCTGGCTGCAAGGTACGCCATTGTTGCAGCCTTGCTTTACTCTGGTGTTCCTCACCTGCTGTGCCCTGGCTGTCGGAAGCTGGTTTGGTGCCTTCTTTCCAGCCTGAGCATTAGGGTTTGGATGAAGGCTGCTGGGGTGGGGAGGAAACTAATGTGTGAATACAGTGAATATTTCATGGCTTGCAAAGTGCTCATCGTTCTGTCCTTGTTTCACTGGGGGTGAGTTCATTCTGCTGACTAAACTCGTCTTTAGATTGCTAATAGTGCTCAAGTAACTATTTTGTAGTTTCTGGAGTACAAAAAGATAATGTTGTACCTTGAAAACTGTAGGTTTGATAGTGATAAGATAGTGTAAAACAGCCTACTTCAATGGAGAAAAAATAGAAGCAAACTAACCATGTCTGAAATGCTTGTCTATCTGGGCTGGAAGCTAGACCCTACCTAGAGTTGCAAAGCAACACTTCACAGCTGCTGGGAACGGGAAACCAGGCATCTAACTTGACTGAAACTGTGAGAGGGATGTCAGGAGATGTGGAGCTTTGTGAGCCTGCCAGCACTGACAGCCATCAGGGTGCTTTGTGAATGCAAGCAGTTGGGACGTTGGTTGTGAGATGAAAGTCTTGTGCTCCTGTTCCCTGGCATAGTGCTTGGGATTGGCTTCCTAGTGACTCAGAGGCAGCGGTGCCATGTCCTGCGTTCCTGACAAGTCTCCCTGCCATGAGAATTGCTGTTTTCTGTTAATCTGCTGTCATGTTCTGGCCTACAAACAGCTCACTTCAAAGGTGAATTATTCTTTATTTTGATTTGTGGTAGCATGCAGAGCATGCCTTTTGTGAAAAGCCTCATCTGTGCACTTCAGTTTGAAGAACAACATATATGTGATTCCCTGGAAATATATGGCCATTTTAGCCCCAGCTTTGCAAGGTTTCCCTTCAGCAATGGGGAGTCCAAAGCAGTGTATAATCAGAGCAGATAAACCTATTTCCATGTTCCTTCCCTTTAGAGAGGTGGCAGTTTGGGAAGGAGGGAGCTGTTTTTGAGTACCTTGTCTTGGAGCATTACTGGAATGGTTGCTGGGATGGCAGCTTAGGATGAGGACTTATTTCAGCTGGTACAAGTTAGATCTGGTTTCAAGAAAGCCCATCCTTGTGTCACAAATGGACCTGGCTCTCTGTTTAAGGAGTGGGGAGTCAATAGGTCACTAATAGGTCACTTTTTCTTCAGGCACCCAAGCAGAGCTTGGGCGTACTTGACTCCACATCCTACAAGCTCCTTCTGACCTAGCATGTAGCTGGTTTTTTGATCCAAAGCAAAGAGAGGGCCAACTTTCGGGCACAAACTTTGTCCTTGTCCTTTGTGATGCTGTAATAATGCTGAGATCTTGGGAAGCCTTCTCCAAATAACACATACACCAATCTCTGCTACTTTTCCACTTCCTGATGCCTTAGTACATTTTATATGCGTTGCATCATAGAGTTATTTTGAAACAATAATAAATGGGATATGTCTCCTGTCTGGTCTCAGGTTTTCCACACCAGTCTTTATCAAGATTTCTCTATATGTTTGAAAATTGCTGTAAGAAGCTGCCGTTACCTTAATAAAATATCTCAATGAAAAAGTCGTAAACCAGTAGGATTGAATGTGATGATAAGAACAGTAACAGTTTAGTAATAGCCATAAAAGAATAGTAAGTAAGTGCAGAAGTACAAGTAGTGGCTCTAAGAACTGAATTGTATTCCCTCCCAGGATGGATTCAGTCTATGGGTGGCCTTGAGTTCTTAAAAACTCAAGGCCGCAGTTTCAGGTGTGGGCTCTTTATTGGGCAGGGAGTTAGTGCAGACTGACTGCTGTTTGACACTGGCTGGAAGTTAAGAACGTGGGCACTCTGGAGGAGCAGATCAGCCCAAATCTGCCATTCCTAGTATCCGCCAGAATTGGATTCAGGATTCACATCTGAGAGTTGTTCTCCTCCAAGAATCCTTGTTCTCCACAGGGTATGAGCAGCCCTGGCGCAAGCTGATCCTGAGTTAATCCTTCGTTCTGAGTATGAGAATGAATGTATGTACCTAACATTACAAAGTCATATGAGAAGATGGGAGAAATTGCTTTCCATTGCCAGATGAAGTATTAGTGTTGAACCTCAGCAACTCCCTGACGCAGATCACAGCACTAGCTAGTGTTTTCCTTTCTGTAAAGTCCAATGTCCGAAGAATTTGAAGTGCTTTATACAGCGATGTCTGGGTGTACCAGCTCTATGCGTCCTTAGCATGTGCATGTCCTATGCATGAATAAACAAGATTTTACATGAATCACAGGTGAAGCCAGTGACTAGAGTCCATGATGTTGAACGTTTGTTCGCCATGAAACCCACGTGCCATCCTCAGGATGCAGCATCGTGAGTTTAGGTATCACAGCCTCAAAACTTTGCCTTTCAACAGGCACAATTCTTTTTAAGCTCTGCCAACTTTGGTGCAGGGCTGGCTGAGGCCTCCCTTGCTGCAGCTCAACTGTGCTGTTTCTGGTTTTAGCGTATTATTCTCTTCTCCTTTAGAAATTCTAGGTACATTGCTGCAGTGGCTGCTGCTGGGTAGTGTTTGGCTTACACTTCTGCTCTCCTGTGTTGCAGGTGCACTTCTGTACGCTATGACACAGACTTGCCAGCTACCAGCCTCATCATCACCTTCCACAATGAGGCGCGCTCCACCCTGCTCCGGACGGTGAAGAGGTGAGTTCAGCAAGGGCTGCTGGGCCCGAACGATGGTGCCTGGAAGGGCACTGGTGGAGAGTTAGGCATTTCCCACTGGTTAGGCAAGCAGGGTGGCTGCAGTCCCCCAAGTGCTTGTGATCTGCCCTTGAGCTGGCCCACTAGGACAGGTCAGGGGCTTGGATTGGCAGTGTGGGCGTATCTTCAAAGACAGAACATATCTGCAGTTAGCTGCTATATAGCCCCCATGGGGGGAATCATTAGCAGTAGGGAAGGGGCTGCTGGGCCTGTGTCCACAGGTGGGAACAGTCTGTATGAGCTTGGTTTGGAAGCGGGGGGGGGCAAAGGGCATACTGTGGGCTGCTAGATGCAACTGAGTGAAGGGGCTTGGGAGGAACTGTGTTTCATAGATGGGAATAAGCAGCCAGACCCCTGGTACAGCACGTGTTACAGGAGCTGGGGTTGGCTCAGTGAAGGCAGGGGGCACAGCTCACAAGTCTTTCAAGCAGGAGGTGATGAACTCGAAGTCTCGTGGAGACCAAGCCCTTGCAGTCTGAGCAGGTGCTCAGAGTCACTTGCTGGTAAGCAGTTGCTGAACCTGACAGCCCACCAGATCCTCCCAGGGGCTTTGTGCACAGACCCTGCTGAAACTGCAGGACACTTGCTATCTCGTACCAGTGTCTCCTTATATCTGAGTATCATCAGCAGTGGCCAAGTCTAACCAAGTAAATAGGTGGCATAGGGCCTGTCAGCATCCCCAAGTAGACAGGAGCATGCAATGTTCCAACTGCTCCTTCCCTTCCCCATCACCCCTGCAGAACCCAGGGAGGCTCTTTTCCTTTTAGTTTTTACGCAGAAAATGCCCTCTGCCCTCTCTGACTTACCAAGTCATTTCTTAAAGGGTCTCTGAAGCCTGCAAGCAGGTCCAGGAACAGCCTGTGGAGGCTGAAGTGGATTGTCCAGGTAGAAGGTTGAGCTGATAGTATCACTAACAGGAATGCATTATTCATCATCACCGCTTCTTCCCCTGGCAGATCCTGTAGGCTTAGAGAAATGTGCTTTGTGAATAAATAACAGGCTTTTTCAAGTTGGCCTCATGGCTAGAAGGCTGGGTTTCTGTCTGCTAGGTTTGATGCTACTGTCTTTCCGGAGACCTGTATATATTGCATTAACACATTTTGCCTTTCTACCTCCATCATTTCCTTTTCATTTGAACCATAAAATGAGTTCCACAGAGCCTCTGTTCAGAAAATGAGCAGATTTGTTTGGAACCACGGTGCTGCTAGGGCAACGGGAGGAGATTTCTGCCGATTACATCATAGGTCAGACAATAAATGGTTAGGTGCTCAGAAACCATGGTAGTAGGATCCTTAAGAAAATCTTAAGGCAGCCAATCAAATAGCCAGATACCATGATAGTTAAAAAGATGAGAAGATGACATTCAGAGCAGCAGGAACGCATAGAGAGAGAAATTGATATCCAGATCCTATGGAGGTGATGTGTGCTAATGAGGAGATGAGTGTTGCCAATGCATTAACAGGCCAGGCTTGCTCAAAGCAAGGTCAACTAGAGTAGGTTGCTCCGGGCTGTGCCTAATCAGTTTTTAGTATCTCCAAGGATGGAGACTCTGCAACCTCTCTGAGCATTCTCTTCTCAAAGCTAAACAACCCCAGCTCTTTCAACCTCATCTCTTATATCTGATGCTCCAGTCCCTTAATTATCTTAGTGGTCCTTCACTGGACCTGCTTCAGCATGTCCCTCTTTTTCTTGTCCTGGGAAGCCCAGAACTGGATATGCCCTCAAGATGTTGTCTCCTGCAACCCAGAACCCCCAGCAAAAACCTTGAAAAACGGGTGATCCATCTGTTCAAATTGGTCCCTGCAATCCTGCTGCCACTGGAGGAGTGCTGTTGAGGACTGGCTGCACTCTGCTGTGAATGGTGGGGTGGATGGCATTTCTGCCCAGACCGCCTGGCTACCGCTGGAGTCTTCATTGCCAGACGGTTTACAGCCAGTGCACTAGATGATTGATTTATTCCTTGCTTACATCAAATGTCAGAAGTGTCCATGATTTATCCCTGTCTGACGAGTGATCCCAAAGGCTGAATTCTTCTTGGGCTCTACAGTATTTTCAGTGTCACACAACCAAGCACTGGCGAGTAGCCTTGTCTTTGAGACACGGGAGTTTTGACAACCGTACACAGAGGTGAAGGCTCAGGTCATGGCTGCACTGTTAGAAGAGGCATGGGGTTGAGTCCTACTTGCAGATTGAGACTGATGTTACAGAGGGAGTTGAAGATTTCACGGTGCTCTTCAAGGCCTCTTCTCTAACCCAAGAGTCCCGTCCTTCAGCAAAACGCATCTGAATGTGCCAGGCTGAGTTACTGCTGTGAGTATAATTGTCGCTCAATTCACATACACAGTCAGTGCACCAAATACTATGTAATTACTTTGCAGCACTTTGGGATGTCAAGTATCAAAGGGACACGACTGTTCTGTTCTGTTCTGTTTGGTTTATGACCTGGCTGTGAGTCTGCAGAGGACCACAGTGATATTAAGCAACAAGAGGCATAAAATTGCACCACCTGCATAGCTGCTGACTAGTCAGGCTTGCAGCCTGTCATTATTTGTATATCTATAAGAGCTTTCTTAAGCCAGGTAGAGCAGGATTATTTAGATAATTAGAATTAACCATTTGAGATGCACCTGGTGAAAGTTAAATATGATTCCACTGTTATTATGGGCTTTTTCCCAAATTTAGTTCATAATTACACTATGGGGATGCTATAAGAGAAGTGGGGGTGGAAGATGACAACTGATGGAAATGAGCAGCACTAAGAGCAAAATTTTCTATGGCTGAAAACTTTTCTAGAGGCCCAATCTTTAGAGGTGAGTAGATTATGTGCTACCAGTTGAAGTTTTCATACCTGAGGTCTTTGCAAGCCTGGCTGATGGGTGCCTGAATTTGGGAAATTCTAGGAAGAAATATATGAAAAGGCTACTGGGGTTGAACTGATCTTAAATTAAAACTAGAGGGAGCCTAAATGCGCTCCCCTGAGCCAGGTACCATCTTACTGTGTTATTCTGACAGCTCTGCAAGGTAACTCAGCTGAGTGTCAATGCTGGTACCACAAGGTCTTGGGAAGTGACCCAGGGATGAGAATCCTGCATTACCGTTTATTTCAGGGTGATCTAAACATGGCAGCTGTAGGGGCCATATCCTGATCTGCAGACCCTTCTTGCTAACCACACCTGTGTGTGTGTGCCACACGTGGACTTGCACAAGCACCTCTGGCAGCTCAGCAGGTGCCAAGCTCTCCCTGCTGCCCCTGGGATCTCTGCTGCTGAGTGGAAGCAACAGGAGTGATGTGCTGTTGTTGTCACTTGAGGATGGGAGAAATATTTGTGTAGGAGGGAGAGGGGGAAATAGAGGAGTGACTGTGGGGAGGAATAACTTCTTCCCTCCAGCACCCTGTCGCTTGTCCCTCCTGGTTCCCAGAGGCAGCATGGGCTGCATGCCTGCCTGCTGCTGTGGGCTCCAGCCATTTTCCTCTTCTGTCCTAGGTAAAGGCACCAGGCGCTGGACCTGCTGCCCAGACTGCAAGCTGCCGGAGGGACCAGGCCAGTGCACCAATAGGCCGTGCTGCCCCAAATCCTACTGGTCCCATGCAGGGAGTCCTTCACACAAATTTTGTTTGTTTGTTTGTTTTCAGTGTAGAGGGAGACAACTGGTTAAAAATATCCAGCAAGAGACTAAGAAGGGGAGTAGGGGAAAAAAAAATGGGAAAGGGGCTATCCACCAGAACCTGTGAACATGCCAGTTCAAATGTCTCGTTGCTGGCATCCTCGGTCCTGCAGGAGATGTGTGTCAGTCAAGAGCTGCTTGCTTGCGTGGTCTCTCTTCCTCGGCAGGACATAGCTGTCACTCTCAAACCAGCTACTTGCTTGGCATCCTGTTCTCCTTCAGAAATAACTGTCACTCAAAAGGCATTTTGCGTGATTGATGGCTGTGCCTGATTAGTCACTAAGCGATACCATCAATTCTGCTGCGGTGACCATTCTTGCAGAAGGGAAAATCAACTGCTTTGTTGTCTGGTCCCTTACCTTCTCTTTATTTCTGATTTCAGTCAGTATTGCAGGTACCGTTTGGTTTTGGTGCAAATGTAAAGGTGAATAGTCAGGCTTTAAGTCAATGGACTTGAACAGCTGTCTGGTTCGGTGCCTATGCAGCGAGTTTGTATAAATTCTGATCAAAAGGATGCTGTTGTAATGCTAGAGCATTTGGTATAGCAACTCATTATAATGACAATTTAAATAATGGCAAAAGAGGAGATTTAGAGCAAAGGAAAAAAAAGAGATGCTCCTCTGCTAACATCTGGAATAAACAAGATTGTCTGTGAGCTGATGAGGGATGGACAGATCAGCAGAGGAGAGAAACTCATTGGCAGTGCTGATGTGGTGTCATGCGACAGAGTGACAGAGTAAGGACACTGACACTGAAAGAAGGAAGCTGTGAGAAAAGACAAAGGATGTAAGGAATCCATGAGATGAGGGGAGAACAGTCTCTGCTTCTGCTGTAAAAGGCAATTGTCATTTGGATTTCGGAATCCTAATAATACATTTTGTGCCTAAAAGTAATCGATTGTCATGCCAGTCTCTGCACTTCATTGGAGGGAAATACTAGGATTACTGGGTTCCTTGTTAAGAAGACAGACAAGACAAAGTGCGAAGAAGATTAAGTACCTTTCCCAAGGATCCACAGCAAATTATTGCAGAGCTGAGAGCAGAACTGGACGTTGAACAATGAGCTGTGAACTCCTCGGGGAGTGTTTTCTCTCTGCAGGGGAATCAGTGGACAGGTGAAGTGTTTGCTTTTTTTTCCCCAGTTATGTTGAGTTGGAAGACCTGAAACTTGTGGAGAAAATGTGAGAATTGCTAATAGTCAGGCTAGTGGGAGAAGGTGTAGAATACCATTTTACAGCCATTATGCTGCAGGATGCAGCCTGTCTGGATCGGTTGTTTTGCATTGACTTTGCACAGACAAGAATTTCAGCGCAGGGCAACCTTGTCTGTAAAATATGCAGATGATGGGAGAAGCTGCACTTATAAATGCAAAGAGGAACATCCCCCACCTCCCACCCGACCATGCCAGAGGATCCAGAGAGGTATGAGCCAAGAGAAGCAAATGAGATTGAGCTTTGAAAAATGCAACCTTAGTCATCTAGGGACATATAATCTCAAAATACAAATACTCTTAGAGATATATGAAGCAGCATAAATCTGAAATAGAGTCGGATGTGATACTGAGCAGCAGAGCAGTCAGGATTTGGTTGTGTGAGACAGCCAAACTCTCCCAAACTGGGGAAACTTTGGCTCTGTGTGCAAAGCCATCAGTGATGCTACTTAGCAAGATGGTAATTTATTTCTCTACAGCTCCATTACTGGGAGTATGGGATTACTCTTGTTATCTGTTTCCTGTATAAAACAAAAAAGCCAAAAAAACAAAAAAACAAAGAAAAAAAGCCACCAATCTTTCTGCAGAATTGCTCAAAATCAGAAAAGTGGGTGCCACTGAAATGAGACGGGTTGCTAGAATCAGGAGGACAGTGTTTACCTCTGTTTTTAATATTCAAGTTTGCTGTCCTCATCACTGGGGTGACTAAATGTGACTGAGCAATCTTGTTGAAGGCAATGAGGACCTGCCTGTGCAAAGAGGCATTGGAAAAGGAGGGAATATGCTGTGTGGTTGTAGTAGAGCCAGGGGAGGGACTTGAAGAAGGTCATGGAAAATTAGTTCAAGCTTCTTAAACAAATGGGAGGAACAAAGAGGTCAGAATCAGACTGCTCTGACTCCAGGGTACCAGAGTGCATCAACCTGTGAGGAGGGCAGAAGCTTTTATCCCCCCTCCTTGTGTGTGAAAGCCCCTGTGTCCTGCAGATGCAAACCCAAATACCGAGGGTATTGTGGGGTATGGTGCAACCAGCCCAAGGAAAGGGGGGTGCTCTCAGCAAGTGTGGGAGCTGGTTTGAAAGAAAGACAAGTAACAAGCAAAAGAGGAAAAAAAAAAACAAATCCAGAATATTGCCAAAGAAAATTGCCTTCCTCCCAAAAAAGGGAATTGGTGAGAAAGCCCCAGCAGGCCTCATCTGTGGCATTGAGACAGAGCTCCTTGCTGGGGAAAGTGGCAGCTCTCTTTCTGCTCCCCGGCAGTGATGAGCTTTGCCCAAAACCTGGCAGATGGGAACAGCCTCGTGGCTGCCTCGGGGCAGGTGGTGCTCCCCTCTTTGCCTCTCTGTTTAGAGGCAGAGCATGCCGCGGCATCCTTTGCTAGCTGCCCCCAGGCAAGTCCCGCCGTCAGCTTCCTGGCTGTGGGTCCTTGTAAGGTCCGGCTGAGATGCCATAGCTCTCTGGGATATTACCGCTTGCAGTTTGGCTCCTGCCAATGAACCCTGGTACAAGGGCAAGGTTACCTCTTCCACATTACTGTGCTGTAATGCATGGCGTAGCAGATTTGTATCAGTCCTACCATTGTCATTATTATGGCAACTCACAAAGATTGTCTTTTTCCTCCGTGGGCCCCTGCAGCGTCCTGAACCGCACCCCTCCCAGCCTCATCCAGGAGATCATTTTGGTAGATGACTTCAGCTCAGATCGTAAGTATGGACCTATTTCCCTTGCACTTGTTTCTTCACTTCTGTTTTCCTTCTTTTTGTTTGCTCTGTTCAGTCCCCCTCCTCACAGAGATTCCCTCTTGTCTGTATGCAAGAGGAAAAGAAAAGGGAGGAAGTTTTTTCTGTGTTTAGTTTATGTCCATGCATGGCAGAGGCCCGAGCTTCTTCCTCTTTTTTTCTTTCCATTGGGTCTTCCCTTTCTTTCAGCTTGGCAGTTTTGGCCAGGTTGCCAGAGATCTCTGTCTAGTTTCGTTATGCACCATTTTGGGAGCTGCTTAGCACAGATATGTATATAGCAATGGTGTACATGAGCAGAGTGGTAATTACAAACCAGGAGAGAGCAAGAGGATGCAACGGAGCCTACAGAAAATTGCTGTCTGGGGTCCTGGAGGCAGACTGGGGCGAGACAGTCTGCCTGCCGCCAAGTGTCTGGGATCCCAGGTGTCCCTGTGGGAGGCCGTGGGTTATTGCTTTGGGCAGCGCCCCTTCTCCTGCAGCTTGGCAAAGGTATGGAGTGTCTTCTGCATGAGTCCCACCAGACCTGCAGACTGGAGGCTATGGACTCTTTCCATCTGTACAGTTGCTCTGGCTCCTGGCTGTTGTGTAGTAGTGGTGAGGTGGTGGGGACAAAAGACTTCTTGCTTCTCCCATGATGTACACTAGATTCAAGGACAATCTAGTAGTGTGCCACTTATAATAATTGATAATTACTCCTTCAGAACACTTTACAAATAGCTGAGAATGCCCAAGGTGGCTTGCTGAGATAAGGAAGCATTGCTCTTTTGATTTTGCAGCTAAATACTTATGTAGCCTTGGCCAAAAAAAAATTTTAAAGGTGGATGCTGAGATTAGGGATTTAACTTTCTGAGGGCCTTAGGGTGTGATTTGGATAAGGACTGAGCTGTGCCCAGCTGTTGGAGTTGAGTGTTTCTGAGCACCTCCAACAAATAGTCCTAAACGTCCCATATTCGGCATCTAGAAATTAAATTCTTAATGGCCAAAGTGTACCAGATCAACACTGATGGATCTCTGGGATCTGTACTGCACAGGGCTCAGCCGGAAACTCCCATTTAGGCTCCTAAGTAAATGGAAAGATTTTTAAAAAGCCCCATCCTATGACAGCTCTCATTTTTCTCACTGGCAGCTGGATATTTGTGGATACAGCTACTCCCTTGAGGCACCTGCATCGAGGCACTTTAGCACATGTTTGAGGTCTGACGCTTTGCTTTAATATCTGCCTCGGTTTCTCCAAAGATACTGTCCTGGTTCCGGCTGGGACAGAGTTAACTTTCTTCCCAGTAGCTGGGTGGGGGAGTGTTGTTTTTTGGGTTTGGTATGAGAGGAGCGTTGATGGCCCATTGATGCTTTGGTTGTTGCTGGGTGGTGCTTGCACCGGGGACTTTTCGGCCTCCCATGCTCTGCCAAGTGCAGGGGAAGTTGGGGGCGGCGCATAGCCAGCTGGCCAATGGGGTGTTCTATACCATGTGACGTCATGCTCAGTATAAAAACCAGGGCGGGGGGGGCTTTCCCCCATTCGCAACACGCAGTCGGCGAGTGGTGAGCAGTTGCATTATGCATCGCCCGCTTTGTATATTTTGTTGTTGTTGTTGTTCTCATTGTTATTATTACTGTTCTACTTCATTTTATTTCCATTATTTAACTGTTTTTATCTCAACCCACGAGTTTTCCTACTTGTGCCCTCCCGATTCTCTCCCCCATTCCACCGGAGGGGGGAGTCAGCGAGCGGCTGCGTGAGATTTAGTTGCTGGCTGGGGTTAAACCACGACAGATACAGAGAGTTTGTAAGCTCTGGCACGTAGTTACAGACAGAGTGATGTGCTCCACTCCTGGAGAGTGAGTGATTTGATAAGGATTCTCGTACTTACCTGAAATTGTGCCTTGGCCAAGATGAGTGTTGCTTTCTCTTGTAGCAGATGTCCAGCAAAATCTTGGTACTCTGTAATTCAGAGCACCTGCCACTTCCCTTGGATGATGCAGCAGCTGCCAAAGTGCCCCCACAAGAGCAGTATTTCAGATTGCATGTATCCTTGAGAATTGGAAGTGCTTCTGCAGGAAAATGCCAAGAGATGCACTTTGGCTAATGGCCTCTGTGTTCTCCCCAGAGCGCTCAGTCTGTGGGAGGATGACGGCGGGAAAGTGGAGGTGTGGGACATGAAAAGGACCGAGCAATAACATGGAAATTGGGGTGAACTTGATGGAGCAAGGGAAAAGAGCAAGTTAGAAATTGTTATTCCTGTGACCTCTGCTAGGGCAGGAATAGAGAGAGGATAACAGAGAACTAAAGACCCAGTGCTCATTGGTACAGCTGGGCTGGAGCCGGTAGCTGTTCCTCTGTCACCTTCGTTGGGCAATGTAAATGAAGGATGGCACTAGCTTCTGGCAAGCTGCCAGCAAAACCCTCGGTTAGGCATCCATGTGTTAATGTAATGGTGTCTCCAAGGAAGTGGGTCATGTCTCTGTGGCCTTTATTAAATAAAGTCAAGCAGAAACTGCCCCAAGAACAAATGTCGGGAAATGCCCAGACGAGCAGCTGAAGGCAAAGAGAGCGGATGAGATCACTTTATATTACAGGACTCTCTTTGACTTGGCACTTCAGTGATTTGCAGCCCTCGCTCCCTGCGGTCCCTCTGTTTCATCAGTGCTCGGTGCCATGTTACCAGCGCATGCCCCGTTGTTGAAACGCTGAACGCGGGAGCGCGAAGGCTGCTCAGAGTATCAGGAAACACAGGCTCAGCTGTCCAAGGAGGACAACAAGCAAGCAGTGCTCTTCTGTGTACTCTTTAGACAACAGGATTAAGGCCATCAGGCTGATTAATGTGATGTTAAGTGAAAGCAGAATTTCCCCTCCCACGGAGAAGCAGGAGAACAGTTAATTGGAGCTCTCTCTTGAAGCCAAATAATTCATGCATGTGTGCCAAATGTTTTTCTTTTGCCTTCCCTAAGCTGAGGACTGCCAGCTCCTTACTAAGATCCCAAAGGTCAAGTGTCTACGAAACACCCGGCGGGAAGGTGAGTGTGGAAAGCTTTGTAGGTACAAAGATTGTGCAGATTTTCCCGCATGGCCCTGTTTGGTTGCCAGCTGCTTACATGTTGTTTCTTATGGTTACAGGTTTTTTTTTTCAGTATAAGGGTTTGGTGTCCTAGTTTGGAGGCTCTGTGGAGGGAGAACCTGGCTTATCAACTCTCAGGCTTCAGGGCTCTCATTTCGTACTTTAAATAATGAGAAGTGGTGTCCAGAGGCCCTGACTAGAACAAGGACCGCAGTTTAAGATCTTTATGAATATAGATGCAGATGTAAGTCTTATCCTTTTAAACTCAGAGTGCAAGATAACAAGCCATCTAGGAGATGTGGGAAAGGGAAAAACAATCGTATATCTATCATAAGTAGATACAATTAAGGAAAGTTGTTTCTCGTATATCTCCTATGTGCATAAATGGTAATGCTGGCTTTCCCAGCTGCTCTTCAGTTTAACTCACATGTGCTGGCTTATTTCTAAACCTGTCAGTGCACAGCAGGCCTGGAGCGAGGATCTGGAAGGGGAGACGGGAGTCACTGCTCAGTTCACAAAGGGCATCCCAGGTAATAGGATGGTCTGTAAGAAAGTATGGAGACATCTGAGAGCCAGGTTGACATCTCTGACCACAGGGCAGAATAAAGGACAAGCGGGAATAAGCAGATAAGCAGTAAGAAAGGCAACAAGCAGAGAGTAGAGCTTGGTCCCGTGGAAGTGGTGAGAGAGGCAGCGGGGTGCTCTGATGGGAGAGACACTGAGCAGGCAGCAGCAAGGTACCTGTGGGGAGGGCTGGAAGTGAAAGGGGATGTCATCAAGACAGGAACCAGATGAAGGCTCAATGGTGTGGACAGAAGTGACAGGTGAGATCATTCTTTGTCTGCTGGGAGGGCTCAGCTGTCAGTATGTCCCCCAGGGGATGCCCTGCTAAAGCTGCTCTCTGCTCCTGATGGAGGTGTGATATAGGAGAACCGCCTGCTCTTCTCCTGTAATGGCCACACAAAGTATTTTATTCTCTGAAGGAGGCTCAGCTGTTTCCCTTCCTAACCTTCCTGCTCCTCTGCTGTTCTTTCCTCATTGTAGGGCTGATTCGCTCTCGGGTGCGAGGAGCTGAAGTGGCTATCGCTGATATCCTCACCTTCTTGGACAGTCACTGTGAAGTCAACAGCGAGTGGCTGCAGCCAATGCTTCAGAGAGTGAAAGAGGTGAGCACCATTTCCCCCTCTGGAATGGATGGGGCTGACCTGTCTTGTGCTGGTGGATCCTCTGCCCTCACATATCATCAGTAGTGCCAGCATTCCCAGGTACTCCTCAGGCAGGCTGTCGCAGAGGAAGGTACAGCCTGAGCTAGATGGGCAAGAAATCCTTCACAGGCTTCTATGTTCTCCTGCTGATGTGGCCGGGCAGGAGGTGCTCAGTGATGGGATGCAATGGTGAACGCTTGAACCACTAACTTACACCTCAGGTCTCCTGCAGGTGCCGTGCTTCCTAGTTCTGTCCACCTGTACATAAGATAGCCACTTCAGCAGCACGCACTGTGCAACTTTTCCATGGTTGCCATCTCCCTTCTTGCTGCTGGACCCTCCCCTCTGCCTTGTCACTGCCAAAACTTTCCTTCCATTAATGCTCCCGCCGAGCTGCCAACACACACCACCTGCATGCAGGCGGCTTCCTAGCACAGGGGAGCTGCCTGTGAGTGCAGGGATGTCCCTTTGCTGGTTCACTTGGGAGAGGATTGACATGAGGCTGCAAGAGTGAAAATGAGACAGGAATATTAGCAGCTCTCACCCTGACTGCACTGTAGGACTGGAGGGGGAGATGTATGGCTTCACTGGGAGGACTGGAGGGGGAGATGTAAGAGCAAACGGAGGAGAGGTGATGGGACAAGTCACAGCCATGCTTGCAAGTGGCAGGGATTGATCCCCTCCTCTGAAAGGAGGATTCCATGTAGTAATGGGCCCCAGGGGAAGGGGTGGAGGCTCTAATGCTGCCTTGTATTCATGTCTGCTTGGCTTAATATGAAGGAGCAAAAGAAGGTGAAACTTCAGGATTGATGACTTAAAAGCTTCTGCTTTTTATTTCTGCTCAATAAATCCTCCATCTCGGAAGCCCATAAATGTTTACTTTACTACTGCTCTTTAAGTCAAGCTGCTGCAGCAGCAGCATACGGGTCCCTAAGCAGAAGGGACCTCACTAGTTTCTTCAGGGAAGGATCTAAGTTGCAAAAGCTTGGGTGCTGACTCCAGTATTATTTAGTGAGCAGATTTCAAGCCTGAGCCTATTTCTGACCTACTTCCTACATTTCTGATGTGCATCCTAGTTCAGATTTCAGTCTTGCCCTACCCAGTCCTAGCTCTGGCTGGTTGGAGCAGTGGCTGGAGCACCAGGCTGCTGGGTGGGTGCTGGGAGATGCTCAGGCTGGGCAGACATACTCTCGCTGTGCAGCCATCGTAGCACGGAGGAGAATAAACATGAATGATAGCTCTCACCTGGGATGTGCCATCCTGGCCAAGTGCACTACAGCAGGAGGAACTATTGCAAGGCACAAAATGAAGGTTTGATAGGAAAGGCATGGAGGCTGGCAGCTATGCGATAACAAGACGGTGTTTCTGGCATTGCCTGCTCTCTGTTTCATCATATATTTCAGCTATCACAAGGCTGTCTTTAATGCCCTGTCTCATGATGTTGAAAAATTGTTATAATCTCAACTTCTACTTAATAAAAGAACTGCAAAGGAAAACTGTAAATACCCCTTAATGCCAATAAAGTACCCCCAATATCTTAATACTATAATATTATGGGTTTTTTCAGTTTGCACTATGATTCTTAAGTGTGGGGTCTTGATTCATAGTACTTGTTAGGAAGGTGCTTTATTAGCGAGTTGATCATTTCTAGGCTGATGATAATGAATTAATTCAAGGATGGCTGAGCAGAAGGTATGCTGTCAGTAGATATTAAAAACAAGCACAAAACCTTTGGGACAGTGATTCATGCCCTGTGACTTGGGCAGGAAATAAAGAGCTGTTTCTTAGCAGCACTCCTGGGTGTTGGAGTCCCAGGCTCCATTCCCCACATCCATGGCGCGCAGCTGGCTAATACCCACCATCTCCATGTTTGGATGTAGTGGCCATGGATCCCTTGCTCAGCTACCAAAACTGTACTGGAGAAGCCAGACAAAGATTTACATGTGCAGCTTTGTGTTTTCTGATCTCTGGCAGCTTTGCCAGACATTCAAGAAAAGCCTGACTCTTCGGTTTTTTTCCCCTTTCTCTCTCTCCCTCAGGATTATACCCGAGTGGTGAGTCCAATCATTGATGTTATCAGCCTGGATAATTTTGCCTACCTGGCAGCATCAGCAGACCTGAGGGGAGGTGGGTATAATGAATGGCTTGTGTAAATTAGGCCTGAGGGATGGTGCATGAAAAATAATTGATGTTCTCTTCAGCTTTCTAAGAAAACAGAGTGATGATCTTTCCTGAAGGGTTCTCTGTGCTCTTTTTCCTGCAACTTGCAAAGTCATATCTTTTGCAGAGTTAAAACAAAACCCAACTAGTGTTTTCCTCTTGAGCTTGCATCACTGTCACAACATTTTGCAATTTCAGGGCTTAGTTAACTGATTAAACTTATCACCATGCCCTCCCTACACTGCATGTACACTGGAGTCTGACAGGCACTTCCAGTTGCTGCTCCTATCTGCCAGGCTATCTCATGGCATCTTCTGAAAAGCATTTTCACCTCTCTCCTGGCAGCTGAACCCCCTTGCAGCTGTTCCTGTGGTCACCCAGGAACACCAGTGCCTGGTGCTCTTCACCCTCTTCTGTGGCTGGGGTTCACTGCCACACTGCTTGCCTGCCAAAGGCTACTTGTTCTGTGGCTACTCTTAACAATGGTATAATGTTAGTGACTGTGCTGTGCTCAACTATCCACCACAGGCCAACTATAAATAAATGGTAGTCTTGAAAGAGATGGTGGTTACAATGATCTGCAGGCCTTTGTTCCCAGAATACATCACATCCCACAAAGTCCTTTGATTAAAGCCTCATAACTTTGGCAGACAGGGAAGTGTAAGACAGACTGGCCAAAATGCAATTACATCTCACACTGACAACACTGTCCTGAAGATATGGAGTGGAATTGAGCAGAGATCTGTAATGCTAAGGGATGAGGATGCCAAGACAGAAGCTGGTAACTTCTTAGTTACATTAGGATAGACTTTTGCCATTTTGGGTAGACCATGAGGGAGGTCAGGGAAGGAAAGTAGGGGTAGCCTGTGACGTAAGGGTGGAGACTATCACTGAAGCTAGTAGAAAAACAATAACAAAACCTATTTGACGTGGTTTTTTCCTTCTCAGGGTTTGACTGGAGCCTTCACTTTAAGTGGGAGCAGATTCCTATAGAGCAGAAGATGTCCAGAACAGACCCAACTCAGTCTATAAGGTAGCTGTCTCTGGTGGACTGTGTACAGTCCTCCAAATGCCTTTCCTAAGCCTTCACCTGTGTGGCAAGGAGCGCACAGGGACTGCCTTGCTGAGGACAAAATGCCACAGTGTTCACTTGATGACGACAAACTCTTCATGTTATTTTCTGAATGCTTTGAGGTCTATACCCGAATTCTGAGAGTATTACTCCCTGAATATTGTAAGAATAGCAATTATATACTATCATAGGCTTGTAGGCATGCCGCCTCTAGAAGCCACCTCTTCTTCTATATGTTTTTGTGGTCTCACTCAACACTCTGAATGCCTCAGAAATCCCTTTGGGGATTTTTAATTACCTCCATCTTCCAGGTGAAGAATTAAGGAATGAAGCAGCTAAACAGTCACCCAGGAAGTATGAAGCAGACCTGGGAACTGAATCTTGCCTACTAATTTGGGCACAGAATTATCCTCCCCTCCTAAATATGCGTGTCCATGGACAAAACAGACTCTTGGCTGGAACAGTTATTGCCAACCTTGCTGCTGTGTACATGGCTCTGAGGAATGTAGAATGTGACAAATCCTGATATAAAAAGTCATAGTGCTTGTCTGTATAGGCAGACAGCTCCCTGTTTGTAACATAAAAGTATCATTCAATTCCTCTGTGTAATTTGTGAGCCTCTGTTTTGTACTCCAGAATCAACCAGCTTGCTAGCAGAGCAGTACATTCAGCAAAGTCTCTCACGCCCTGTCTACTTGGTGAACACAGTCATCAGACATTGCCCCTGTCATTCCTTCACACTGTGCGTATTTGTATAAATGCAAAAGACACAGAATTACTCATGTAATAGTGCTTGCAGGACCATCTAATGAAGGCAGGAGGATGATCTAGTGAGGGGGATCTCAGAAACCTGCTGCAGGTTCACGTCCCAACTCTACTATTTTTCTCTTTTAAATGAGATACAATATTTGTCAGGCCTGGACAAATTGTCCCCCCTCTAAAATGACAATGGTGGTGCTACATATACATGTGATTATTTTGTATGGGCTTGTGTTTTCTTTTCCAGAACCCCTGTCATAGCAGGAGGCATCTTTGTCATCGACAAGTCCTGGTTTAATCACCTGGGAAAATATGATACTCAAATGGACATCTGGGGAGGAGAAAATTTTGGTAAGTTTAGGGTGTTTCAGGGGAATGACACACTAACGCAGATCTTCGTCGCCTGCCAGAACTCTCCTTTTGAGAGATCTGATCTGCACATCGATGTAAGGCTAGGGACATGGTCAGGTAATCCCCATGTCGGTCAGAATTGTATTGCTGTCAGCTTTGTGCAAAGTAAACGGAGGCTTTTTGCAATCAGGGCTATCACTCTCTTACAGGCATATGCACTATTATGCTTCCACAGTACAAGTAAGAAAGAGGAACCTCCTGATACTTAAATTGTTGCTTGGTTTTTGGGGAGTATTCCTCCAGTCCTTCGCATGACAGTCTGTGTTGCCCCAGCTCTGAAGTGGACAGTCACTCCTACACTCTCCTCTTATACCTGTTCCTCCTTCCCAGATAAGTCTGAGTTGCTCTCCCAGCTTGATAGGTCAGAAGGATGTTTTTCCTAATAAAACAAGCCTCTTTGTAAGTGGAATTTGGGTACAGATAGATTCAGAATGCAAACATTTAGAAGCAAACTAGGGCATCACAAACATCTGAGGAATTCGGAGGCCCAGGGTAGTCTGTCCATTCAAGTCCATTCAAGTGCTGTTATCTTATAGGGCTTGGTGCTGAAACCCATCTCCTTGCACTTAATGGTGGCACAGATATTCCAGGCACTCTCTTTGCCCTGTGTGAAGGGATGCTGCGACGACGTCACCAGGTGTTAATGACAAAAGGAAGAAGAGTATTGAAAAGAGGTTCACAGAGACCTCAGGTATGCGGGGCATTCATTTAGAAATTACGCAGGTGGAGCTGAAGAGATAAAAGCCTTACTCTGTTTTGCAGTCAACTTAAATAGACTTTTCTGTAGCTAATGCTGCCAAAAAATTATTCTGTTTCTACAGTTTCCATAAATGTCACAGATTTGTAAATAAATCCCTTTAAAGAAGAATTTATATGGTGTTTTCTAGCACCTGGAGAACCAATTAGAAAGAAAGAAATAGTCAGGAAGAGGAAACTTTTGTTTCTCTGAACACAGCTGGGAGAGCTGCCTCTTTCTGAAATGCTCTGTGAAACCACGAAATAATATTTTTGGCTGATAACAGAATATCAAGGTACCACTTTTTTAATATGAGCACTAATAACGAGTGCTTGCGTTCTCTGTTTTCTGAGTTTTCTGAGTTTTCTGATATTCATGATATTAAAAAGATATTAAATGGGGCTTGCATTGGGATCTCAGCTGTGCTAGTAGCATCAGCTAAGCACTGTAGGCAGAAGTAACTGGCAGCCTTTACCCAGGCATAAAGATCCCCTCTCCTGTGTTCCTCAGACCCCTCTGCACAGCCAAACCCAGCTCCCTGCTGTCACTAGCCCTGCTCCAGCTGCAGAGCCAGCCACTTGGCCATCCTGCCAGCCCCTGAGCTGCAACTGTGTAAAAGCTGTAAAGATGGAGAAAGAATATTTCTTTAGGCTTTTGGTTGTCTGCTTGTGCCCACCTGGGAGTCCACTGTTGTTGTTTGGTGCGTATGTAAGTAGCTTGATGCTAAGCAGAGCTCTCTGCCACAAGTGGCAGTAAATTACTTACACACCCACGGCCCTTCTTGCATGTAGAACTGATCAAAACCTCCACAGAATTGCTTCATTCTCCTTCAAATTGCTCTTGTAAAGCCTGGCAGTGGCTGGGCCAGGCTATGTGGGACTGAGCCAGGTGTACAGGGCTTGCCAGTTTTGCCTTGTTGTGTGGTTTCCCTGTAAATTCGTTGCCTCCCATCACTTGTCTCTTATCCTGCATCTCCACTCTTCACTTAAGAGGGCAAAGCTAAGTGCACAATGCTGTGTTTAATGGGGCCTGTCCCTGAGCCACGTTGCCACACCACCACTCTGATGATGGCAATGGGAAGGTATTTTAAAAACAAAACAAACTACTTTTCTTTTTCAAAGCTAACTTTTGTTCACCTCTTCAGCATAATGTGAGGCAACAGATCAACCAGTGGCTTCTACATCGAGCCTGTTGCTGTTGCATGGCAGAGGGGTCGAAACCAACCTGTATTTGACAACAAAAAGTATTAATTTTCCTTGAAGTATTCAAAATGGTTAGTTTACCCTCTTAAAAAAAGTTTTCCATACTTAACTGAAAATTAGATTTTGTGATCAAGGAAAAATGTTGGTAATGTTCTGAAACACTGTTTTTACTACAAATTACAATTTTGAGGGGAAAGGAACTGTTTGGATAAGGTCACCATTTGCAGGTGAGGTGGGAGAGTGGTTCTGACTAATTTGGGTGGGTGAGGTGGGCCATTCCCTGCCCACAAAGGCCATTTTTAATAAACTCCTTCTTTGAAACTTTTTTCCTGTGAGGAAACAGGATAAGAGAATGTATGGGAAGGGCACAGAGCCGGACAAGTTCAACGCACACAGCAGGTACACAGAAATGATCAGGCAGCAGTTACCAGCAGCCTAAATAGCCTTCCAGCTGGATGTGAGCTGGTAACCCCCTTTTTTTCCCCTGTGATGGGGAAAAGCCACAGTGATTAAGTCATTTAAAACACATCTAGGTCACATCCTGGAAAATATACAGCAAAAAGTTCTCCTATGCTTTCCATCAGAAGATGGATGAAAGTCCTTAATAAGCTATGTTTGATCTCCATTTTTTCTTCTGTGTCCAAAATCTGCATTCTTTTGCCCCTTCTTTAAAGAGTTCTGTCATTTACAAACTGGACATGAAGTCTGTCTGTGTGCCTAAGATATCAATATGGCATGAGAAATCCTCTCTTGGGAAATGGACATCACTTTAAGTTACACATGGTAGATGATTGAGAGTTTTGGTTTTGTTATAGGCCAGAGTGAGTCAGAACCTCATTCCAGGAGAGCAAATGCCAGCTGGACACACCACCAGACAGAAACTTATGTCTTGGCCTTTTCTGTGTTTTTAAAGCCCTTCTTCTTCAAAGCTGGAACTCCCTGTTGAAAAGAGACTGAAAATAATAAATTCTAGGAAAGAGTCAGGGAGAGACAAGAGCTAGTAAGAAATATCACAAAATACAGTCTAATAAAATGTTTTTTTACTTAGAAGCTAGATTAAATACATCATCTTCCCCACCCAAAACACACTCTTTGAAAAACCTTTCCCAGGAGCTAGAGAGGAAAGCTATGGAGAAAGATGAAAGTTGGGAAGATGTTAGTGTGTGTACATGCTTTGAAACAGCCATTAGATCTGGATACGTAATTTCTTTTTAATTTCTAAACATCAGAGCCCCATAATTCAGGCATTACTGGAGGGAGATCCCAACTGAGTACAGTTTTTGAAGTAATCAGTCTATAATCTGAAGCTCTTTCGGTAAGGACTACCAAACTACACAGCTAATTTTCATTTTCCTTCTTCCTTCTCTTCTCATTGCCACATGAAATGCAAGTGGAAAACGCCTCCAGTGTGGCAGTGATTAAACTTGCGAGGACAGACCCGTAAGCTTGAGCGAGGTCACATCTCTTCTGTGACGCAAAAAAGCGCCTGTACATCAAAGCTCCATGTTCTTCTAATCCTTTAACAAAATGTTGAATTTAGCTTCAAGACCAACTGGATTTCTTCAAGTATCAGAGTTCTCTCCATATTTTTATAGTCACACTATTAGACTGATTTCTGCTCTCAGTAGCTCCCCCAGCAGAGGCAACTGGTGACAAACTGTAACCCAGTCATCTACTTTTTTTTTTTTTTTTTTAAATTAACATAGCCAAGCAGAACAACAACACCAAGGTATTGTAGGATGGATAACATGGAGGTATGAGGGAGAAGACTCTGCTCTAAATATTGACTCACTTCCTGTGCCCTCATCTTGTTCTCTTCTTTCTCCTTGTCTCCTAAACTCCCTTTCTTCCTCACATAATTGGCTTTACACAGTGAATTCTTCTTTTTTTCTTCCATCTATGTGCAGGGCTGGAGAGTTACAGAAGTCCAAAATAAGGTGGGTGTGGGGGTGATCTCAGTCTGTTGCCAAGTGCCATCCTGAAGGCCTGACAGCAACCACAAGGATCTGGTGAAAGGGAAAGGTGTGTCACTGAAATGCTCGGGGGACCAAAGAGAGGAGTGGGACTGGAGAAGGCTAGAAAGTCTCTGAGCCACAAGGGTTGCCTCCATTTTAACAAAGGGAGGACAGTTTTTCCACTCTTACTGTGGCATTGCTTTTCCTGGTTTTGCTGTTGCAGGCAATACATCTAGAGCAGAGGGGCAAGGTTTTCAGGCACACTGCTGCAGCTGCCTTTCTTGGAAATGCTGCCGATCTGCCTGCAGCTATATGACTCTTGGGGTCTCTTCCAGAGCTCTCTTTCCGAGTGTGGATGTGCGGTGGCAGCTTGGAGATCGTTCCCTGCAGTCGAGTGGGACATGTGTTCAGGAAGCGCCATCCCTATGACTTCCCTGAGGGCAATGCACTGACTTACATCAAGTAGGTGTTGGGTAGTTCCTGGTAGCAGCCAGGTCACCTTGATGTTGGGCATGTCTAAATAAGCCTGAATTCTTTGTTGTCTTTCTGCCTGATGACAGAGGAGAACAGCTTGTGGCTGAGCATCTGTTCTCAAGGAAAGGATGAGTTGCTGTTTTCTGTGAACAAAACCTGTTTCCTTCTCTGTTGTTTGTATTAGTGCGTCTTGTTCTTCCTCAGTCTGCAATGGAGGGAGGGAGCAGTACCCCAGAGAGAGACCCTGGCCATTTGTGGATACTGCCCTATGACACGTGCCTGTGTATCAGCAGTCCTTAGTCATCTCTGTTGTCTCTGAGCTGCTTTTGAGTCCAGAGATCCTACTGAGCTGTATGTGCTCTGAGACAAGCCCTAAGGACAACTTCCACTGCAGGACAGATGGGAAGAGAAAAAAGATGAGACAAAGTTCTTCACAATGAGAGTGGTTAAGCACTGGCGCAGGGCCCCAGAGAGGTGATGAAATCTCCATCCTTGGAGATTTCAAAACTCAACCAGACAAGACCCTGAACAACATGACCTAACCTGAAGCTGCTTTGGGCAGGAGGTTGGACCAGGTGATACCTAGAGGTGCTTTCCAAGCTGAATTATTCCATGGCATTATTCTAATCTGGGGAAAGGGGTACTGTAAAGCAGGGTGATGGTGACAGTCAGTCCAGGTGTCTCTGCAGGGGGAGCATCTGTGAAAAAATCATGGTAAACTATGGCTGTTAAAATTTTAACTTCTGAACTGAAGCATCCTTGCAAGGCTTTGTAGACTTAACACATTCTATCTATATCCATCCGTGCTGCCCACTGTGTTTCACGTTTGGGACTGTCCCTCACTCCCTCCTGGCAGACAGGCCTTGGGTCTGCCCACCCAGTGCCTGCTCACTGGGAGGGCAGGTTCTCCAGCAGCACTCAGCAAAACATCTCCTCATCTCCATGTAGGAACACCAAGCGTACAGCAGAGGTGTGGATGGATGAATACAAGCAGTACTACTATGAGGCCCGGCCATCTGCCATTGGGAAGTCGTTTGGAAGGTAAGCTGCCCCCAGACCTCAGTAGGAGGGCTCTGGTAAGCCCCTTGCTAGCAAGAAATAGTTTTTGGATCTTCTCTGGGGCTAAGTGTGGGAAACAGAGATGCGCTGAATGGCTGGCTTGCCAGTGACGTTGCAGCTTGAGTGCCTGGCTAACAAGGTTTACTTCTAATTCACTTTATTTTTCTCCCAGTAACCCTGCATAAATCATTTGTTAGCAGAAGGCCAAAGGGATCTGTAATGAAATTAAAAGGCCGGATAGAAGGGATCTGTAATGAAATTAAAAGGCCGGACATTTTAAGTGGATAGATAAGAATATTTTCTAACACAGCATGCAGCTGGTCTGGAAAGTGAGCTACGCCGTTACTAGAGCTTGATCCAAAGTTCCTGTGTGGATGCAGAATCCTGGAGCAAGCACGGCTAGCTGGCACATGGGGCAGGTTGCACTTGGTGCACTCCCCTCTTTCCTGATGAGTGGATGGGTGATTTGCCTGGTTTGTAGGGCAGGAGAGAACATGGCCAACGGTGAGACATCTCATTTAGAAACAGTCTGGTTGTAACTCGTCTCCAATACCTGCTGAGCCCACTTCTGTGCAGAATTGTGCTCCTTACAGCACCTTTGCTAAAGCTGTCTCCAGGCCACATAGGATTCGCTGTTATGGGCTTAAGTGTTCTTTGTTGTCATGAATGGGTGGTTTTAAGGCCACGTAAAGAATCACTGGCAAAGGTATGGGCAAAGGGTGATTTTAATAGAAATTTATAGAAACGTGACTTAACAGAATTTGATGGCAAGGTTCACTCTATTACTTATTACGTGGATTAAGTTTACAGGACTGTGTTGGAATGATTTGTACAGAGATTGAGGATAAAAGGGTAAGGGGGGATCCTCCTGTTGAGTCACGAGATTCAGAAAAGATCCGACTGGACCCAATCTTAGTCTCAGACTTCGACAATGGTTTGTGTCTAATACAAAAAGGGGATAAGAAAATCCTCCTTTGAGTCACGAGGTTCAGAGTAGACCCCTTTGCTTTCTAAACCCCTTCTCAGAGAAGAGCCTAGGTGCAGCTGGATCTACCCTTAGTCTCAGACCTGGGCAACGATTTATGACTAAAGGGTTAAGGTTTTTAGCAGCAACTTAGAGTCTTACAATGCTTAAACATTGATCAATTTGACAGCTGCACAAAGAATTAGTCAAGTTGCTACAAATACTACAAAGATCAAAACAACTTAACTACAGGTTATACTTGTTAGTAACTATAGATAAGTGCGCAAAAAGATCTAGATCAATCAATACATATGTAACTACAGATTATAACTGTACGGATAAGCATGCAAAAAGATCTAGATCAATCAGTACATATATAACTACAGATTATAGCTGTACTGATAAGTGCGCAAAAAGATCTAGAACAATCAATACATATATATATATATATGCATATGGATATGGTACCAAAGCTAAATGAAAGGCCTAGAGTTAGTTAATTTATAAAGGTATACCTGTTAAAAATTCCCCTTGAGTACTGTGAAATACTCACGTTAAATGCTTTGGCATTTCCCAGTGGGTGAAGATTTGATGCCCCGAGGAGCGTCTCAGCCCAAAATCTCGGTGATCCTCCGAGTATCGCAAATTCGAGTTTGCGGACTCTGAGAAGCATCCCACTCGGAGATTCTGGATGCAGCCCGCTGTGGTCCAGGAGAGCTCAAAGGGTCTCACTCGGTACCGCTGTTTATAGGTTTGCAAGATGATTGGCCTTAGTCATCAGTAAATTTCCATTTTTGCTACTATCCGAGGTGGTCCAGGGTAGTAATTATGGTATTGTTTCACAGTAACAATGGTATTGTTCCACTTGAGCTATGATCTAGGTAGGGAATGCTTCAGAGCCGTCAGAGATGACGAATTATCTCTTGTTTCTGTTCCCTATCTTGATCACGTAGCTAGTATCCCTGGTACGATCAGTGTTGTGCCCCACCTTAGCCCTGCAAGAGTGCTTGGTACGGCCAAGGGACGCTTAACCGCCCAACTCATACACAATGGCTAAAGCTTAACAGAAGGTTCTGAGGTCGTATCGCAGCCCCGAGGGAAAGGGGGTGGGGGAGGGATGCACCACCACATTTGTGACCCAGAAATCAGTGATGGACACCGAAACCTGGGATGAGGGGAGAGCTTGCTCTCTGTGCTAACAAACCCCTGTAACTCCCAAATAAACGTAAAAAATCCCAGGAGTGGTGTATATCTGAGAGTATATCTGCGGGTTATATCTGCCTGTGAACAAGTGACTATTGTTGTATCAGCTTAAGGACTTGGCAGATGTTGTTGTATCTCAAATGTGTAGCTACATGCACTGGGTAATGATGCATCTCCAGCTTATTTGATGACAAGCAGGTTTGGTCTGACCCACACGCACTTTTTTGTTGTACATCATGCTTTATTATCATATCATTACATATTTTTGTACAAATAGCTTTGCCTACCTAATTTATCTGTCTTTGAGCTGACTGCAGCAGCTGGGCTGGGGCCAAATAGCAAGTAACCCTGCTGCTTGTGAAGGAAACTGGACTATTGTATATTGGACATGGATATATTGCTAATGTGTTTTAGGGCCAAAGTCTACAGTTCTTGTTCACACAGACTTCCTAGTGGCTTTACTGGCAGCATTGGCTGAATAAGAGCTGGAACAGAGCTGTAGGATTTGATTTCAGACAATTTCTTGACCTGTAGTAACAGCCCTGTGAACCTGCATTAAATCTAAATTTTAGAATGTAAATGCCTCTGACACCATCACTGTCAACTGGGCCTAAAATGGACCCTCCTTCCCCACAATTTTGATGTGAATATAGGATCTAAGTACATTCTCCTGAGGTATGGGCAGTTCAGTGGCCCCTGTGGGTTGAGGATGGCAAAGAGCATGGGTACAGCTGAAAGTCCTTCCCAACAGACAAATGTAGTAGTATAGCTTGAAAAGGAGAGTCCCTAGTGTCACTGCTCAGTAGGACTGCTTGAGGGAAGTCCTCTTCTTCAGCCAGCTAAAGCCAAGCAAATCAGCAGTGGGAGGACTGCTGCAGCAGACAGTTACCAGGATACTGAGTTAATTTCCCCTTATACTCCTCCCATTTCCCAAAACTGCCTAAGAACAAATAATTATGTTCTTTAGGTCTGAAACCCAACCTGAGCCTGGAGCTGCTGCCGTGTTCCCTCACCTCTAGCACACACAGATTAACTGTTTGTATATACCTGAGCAAGAACACTTTCTAGGCCTTTTCAGGAGCTGATGGTTGTGCAAGTTTCATGGTTCTACAGTAGGCAGAAATGCTTTCATGGTCCTACAGTAGTTTTTCTGCAATGTATTATTTAACACTGTAGGACTAGGGTGCTGCCATCGTTCTGAGCCAAAGGAAGTGCAAGAATTGGTCTCTGAAGGTGTTTATGTCTTTCTTTTCTATATCCTGCCACTTGCCTCTCTCCTCCTTTTCACCTCAGGTCACTGCTAGTGCTCTGAACCCAGCAACAACTAGGTGGGAGAATGAGTAAGGGGGAAAAGTCATATAGTCTCCCTCAAACCTCCTGTCTGATCTTCATTGTTCCCCTCCCTCCTGTTCACTACCTTATCCTCAACAACCTGCCTGTGTTTCCAGTGTTGCAGACCGAGTGGAGCAGCGACGCAAACTGAACTGTAAATCCTTCCAGTGGTATCTGGAGAACGTCTACCCTGAGCTCAAGTGAGTCAGTTCTCCATTTGTAGAAATCTCTGAAGGATCTGGGAGGTGGGTCACAAAGAGAAACTGAGACTTGGTGGCAGCGGGCAAAAGACAGACTTGTGCTTGGAAAAGGTTTTCCTCTGCTCTTCTTTTTGGTGAGGAACCTCCTGTGATTTCCTGGCTTGTATCATCACAACAACTCTGCAAAAGGTTTGTTGCTCCTGCCTCTGGGAGCCCTCTGCTCTGCCCCATACAGCTGTCCCTCAGAGATGTGCAACAGTGGTGTTTTCAGAGGTGCGGGGTGTAGACAAGTGCCAGAGCACTACATCCCTCTGCACGTTGGATGGTCTGCCTGGAGGTAGCTGAGCCAAGTAGAGCTGGACAGCCTCAGTGCAGAGGTGTGGATGGTTCAGAGAAAGCCTCGGTGAATGCCAGAGCCAGCTGTGCCTGTGGCTTTCCCTGCTCTGGGTCAGGACGCAGGAGTGCTGTGGCATTGCTCTGCTGGCAGGTAGCCTGGGTAGAGCTCTGTTGTTAGCACCTCCTAGCTAACACACCCTGGCAACACATCTTTACATCTCAGTCAAGCAAAGTCTGTAGCTAACATGGGTCGAGGCTAAAACATCCAGCTGTAGTCTGTCCTTGACAGATCTTTCCTGTATTGCTACCAATGAGACAGTGAATATGTGCTAGCGCTGGTGGGAAGACTCCGGAAAAGGGGGAGGAAGAAGCAGGATAAATCAGTGTGGGTATGGCTTTTTACTGGCAATAGCCTCTTTCAGAAGAGACATCACACTGAAACGCTTGGGGTGCACCTAAAGCACCTTATGCCTTCTGAAACAAAAGGGTACCAGCCCTCTGACCAAGTTCTCCATTGACTTTTGCCTCCTCCAGGCATTTCCAGTGGATAGCTAGCATGATATTGTTCATTTTCTGTCAAATAAAGGGGACTATGTTTCAGTAAGGGGCCAGTTATGCCCTTCTAAATGTGTGTGTGCTTTGGACATTTCTGAAGTGCCATGCACCTGTCATTTTACTTCAAGGGTTCCTGAAAAGGAGCTGATTCCAGGAATAATTAAACAAGGAGGAAACTGCCTGGAGTCTCGGGCACAGGATACCACAGGGAATATGTTGGCTGGCATTGGAATCTGTAAAGGAACAGTGAACAATCCACCTGTCACTCAGGTAAGGCAGGCTTCAGTTTGGTGCTTTGCTCCTGCTTCTGCCCTTTTTATTACCAGTGAATGGAAAAGGCATCTCTGGCCTTGGTGGGTTTGTACAGAGGTGAATGAAGGAAGAATTTGGCCCTGTTAATGATTTTAATAGTAAGCAGAAAAAGAAGCTGTGCCCATCTCTCAGAGCTCTGTTGGCTCAACAGACCCAGCAGTCAGGCATACAGTGGGAAGGTTTTCATCACTCAAAGGCAACAGGTAGCGCTTGAATGCTCAGGGGCGTGACTCGTCTGTGCAGTAGGCGTGTGTGTGACCAGGGTTTGAGTCATGTAGCTCTTCCCACTCAGACCGTTGCTTGGGTGTGCTCTGCTTCATCGTCCAACCCATGTCGGTCCTGGGGTGTGCTTGGCTAGTACCCTGGCACATGGGCAAGAGATTTTCCCAGGATCAGAAGCATTCCTTGGTCTGCCCATTCAGCTGTAGTTGCAGATGGCTTGAATTGTGCTGTTTTACAGATGCGTTTCAGTATAAAGCCCAAATAGAGTTTAAATAGCCAAGACCCCAGCTGCAGTAATTTGGTGCAGCTCTCCTAACTGCAGTGGAGCTGTGCTGGTTTATACCAGCTGAGGATCTGCACTCAGCCTCTTCTTTTATGCCTGAAAGCAGCAGGGAAGCAGCTTGAGAAAGTTAAGGGTCACAGTAGGATATTTTATGCCAGAAAATACATATTCACATCTGTTAACTGTTGGAAACCAGTTTGCAGCCAGCGTTCAACATGCCATTTAATCTGACTCATTGTTCCATGTCATTACCGCTTGAAATCTCTGAAACTTATTGCATTTTGTATTTCTTCCTTGGGGAAAGTATAATAATAATAGTTGATTGGGTTGGGTATCCATCTAGTGAGAGAAAGGAAAATGAAGTGGCTTGTGCTTTATGTGCGCGGTGATATATGTTAGCCCATGGATATGCTTGCATGTGTTTTGCTTCACTTGACAATCTATAGGTCCCAGATACCTGTTACAGAACATGTCTGCTATGTAAAATATGCAAAAGCAGTTGCATGTCATGTAAATCAGGGGTCAGGGTCCTCCCTGCTTTGTAGGTCTAAATCTGTAAAGCTGCAGAGCAGGGAGTTGCATGGGATCCAAGGTTAATCAGGCAGCTCAGATGGTCAGAGGAGCCAGCTGCAGGCTTTGAAATAGTCATGATATACCAAGCCTGAGCATAAACTTCTGATCAGGTGAAGACCATGCTGCCATGGTCTTCCCAGGAAGCCTTTGGTAAGAATTGAACAAAGGATATAGGTTTTTGAAATACCGGATAGAAAAAACTCTTTCTCCCTCACCTGATCATCATTATGATCCTAATGGAACCTTTCTTTTTCTTATGCCAAAGGAGTGGGTATTCAGTGACCCTCTAATTAGACAGCAGGACAAGTGTCTTTCCATTACCTCCTTTTCTACTGGCTCTCAAATCACACTGGAAGCCTGCAATCAAAAAGACGGCAGACAGGTAGGTAACTGTGCACCTGTTTTTAATCCCTCCATTGCCACATACCAGTGTTCCTACATCAGTGCAGCCTGCAGGGGCAAACCTAGTACTATCAAAGTGTACAAAAGTCCCTTCCGTCTTTTGCCTCTCCCCCTCTGGTGTGTTTCATCAGTTCGGATGTATGAGATTGCCCGCAACCAAAGCGGGGAGCACAGACCACGCTAGTGTGTGGGTGTCCCTCAGCAATGTGGTTAGCTCCAGCTCAGTAGCACCCTGACCTCGCTCCTTGGATACATCTATGTTTAGCTGGATTGGGGCATGGGTGGAGCATCAGAGAGGGGTAGATAAGCAACAAATGCTTTGAGATACCCAAAGGAAGGGCAGTGTGTGCTATCATTTGTTTACTTATTTAGAAGCGAGAGAACTGTGTTCTTTGTGCTCTTTGGACATGTGAACAGACCTTTAAAACCGAGTGTGTGCAACTCATTTGAGAAACACCGACTGACATAAAGCACCGTATGTTCCACCCAAACTGCTCCCTGAGGAAAAATACACAGCAGCAGTGTTCCCAACAAAATGCAGTGTTCCCAACAAAATGCAGCTCTGTGACTCTTATGCTGTTTCCAAGATGTGCATCCCTGATCTGTCAGGACACATAAGTCATTTTGCCTTACAGCACAAGGTAAGAGACGGCCTCTGCAGTGGTCAGGGTGCCCTCACAGAGATGTGATGTGCCTTTTTATCAGAACTGGGCAAAACACAACAGGTGACAACGCAGCACTGGCAGACAGTGGACTGGGCTTGTTTCATCCCTAGTTCCTGTGCTTCCCTCTACGCCAAGACAGAACACATTTTCTGTCATCTAAGGCTATGCTGGCTCTGTGTTTTCTGACACATCTATTGTTTTGATAGCCCAAAGGTAGGAGACAGCTCAGCTTGCTATCAGTCCTCAGCAGCATCCTCTTTTGTTAGTACTTTTTAATGCTATACAAATCTCTGAATTTAGTTCTTCCTGAAAGAAAGCACTGAAATCCAGTCTTGCCCATTTATGGAAAGCCTGTGTAGACTTTCCTCTGGAGGGTTGGTTAATGCAGAAATGTCTTGAAGAGTTGTCACTGTGGATACACTGGGAAAACTCTTGAGTTCGGATTAGCCTTGCAAGGATATCCCAGGTGGGCTGTGTTTGCCTGCTCCTTTTTCTTGTGGGTAATCAGTCACCCCCTTGCTGTGTAATTAGGTCACTTAGCTTCCCCTTAGGTGCCTTGCAGCATTTTCCTCGCTTGCAGCAGAGAGGACTCTAGCAGCTGCCAAAATCAGCTGTCTTTCCCTGCCTCCCCTGTCATGGAAGGACAAGGGTACCCTGAAGGGGGGTGGAGTGCAAGCCCTATTAGCCAGAAGAGAGATTAATCCACACTAACACAAGCAGGGTCATTCTGCTGCTAGAATAGGATTTATTGAGCCTTGATGTGTTGATTATATACAGGCTCATTATAAAGACATGCACACACCCCGAAGGATGTAAGCTGTTGTTTTCCATTACCTTATGTGAACAAACTGCACTTAAATCAAGGACTTGACCTGGCAGATGATTTAGCCAACTGACTGTAAGCAAGGATTTTGTTTAAGCATTTCAAATAATTAGAGACTGATTTGAATCACAGCTGCCATTCCAAACCACCTTGTGGCTGAAGGGGTGAGGTGGGGATGAGGTGGGAGAAGTGCATTTGAATTTTTAACCTAATTTGGGTTGAAATGCTCTGAAATGTGAGTTTTTTGCAAGTCCCAAAGTCCCATTTCAGATTTCTACTTATAAAGCCAGTTCTACTTGCAATGCTCAAGTTTGTTGTGTTCTTGGGGAATGTTGTTATGGTCCCCTGCTTCCATAAACACAACAGTAATTGTTGTGAATACTGACATTGGATTTTAAATAGCTCAAAGTCAGTCATCTTTGCAAACCATCCCATTCTCTCTCCTCCTTTTCTTTTCTAGAGGGGCCACCTGCATCTAATGCAATGTTTTCTGCTTACTTTGGGAACTGACTCTTTCTCTGCCAGGTCCTAGCTAGAGTGGAAAGTGAAGCTAACAACTTTTATGGGGGTCATCTGAGAGTGTATGTCTGGGCTAACAAGGCATGTTTCTGGCAACAGAGAGCCAAGACAGAGAGGGAGTCTTTTTCTTCCTGGGTTGGCAGCTTGCAGACCCCCCTGCCTAGGATGTCACCCAAGCCCAGCTCCTGATACTTGGGAGGTTGAGTTGCAAGGAGATGGCCACTGCTGTAGAAACTTTAAAGTGCGAAATCAAAGAGCAAAGCTGGAGGGAACAAACTCCCTCAGTTGCCCTACAACTTGCCTGTCTCCCCATGGGTACTCACAGCCCAAAGTGTGGGTGCTAGGGGAGAGCAGTGTTTTCAAACTACACACGGATGTAGCCACTCCTCAGTTCAAGTGGGCTTCTCAGAAAGTCGCAGGGGCTGAGTGGGAGTGGAGGAAGGGAAGTTGAGCTACTTCAGAGAGGTGGAGGTGGCAAGCAAGAACCCCGAGTAGGTGGTCTGAGTGGAAGGGGGTGAGCCTGGGCAACGTGCATCACACATACAATATCTTAAGAGGAGACAGTGGCATGATGAAAGCCCAGCTTTGAATATCTCTGGTGTCACTGTCATCAGAGGTCTGTGGTGGAACATGTTTGGACTTTTCTGGATCTAGACTTCATGTCTATGTCTGAGTGATGCAAAAGCAAGATTTCTGACAAAAGATGGGGCACGTGATGGCTTCACTTTTTAGTGTCACCAGCAGCAGATTGGTTAGATCCTTATGACAGCACCATACAGCTCCTAAAGTTGCTTTCTGCTTTCAAACATCTGAATCTGTGTCCATGCTACACAGCTGTTGTGCATTAAGCATGTCCACAGGGCAGATAATTTTGTTGTTATTTCTGAGTGCTAACAAAGTCCATCTAACATATATGTAATACTCTAGCGGAGGCCTTACAGTATTATGAACTGTACCTAGAGTATTACTTCAAAATAAGTCTAGAACTTTGCAGGTAGGAGGATACAAGACAATGGCCAAAATTTAGATGGTTTTTGGTTCTGTCAGACTATTCTCCCTTGGGTTGAAAGGAACCAGGAACAAAATCTATTTGGCACCATGATCCCGTTGATCATTCAACAGCAACAGCTGGCACTGCTAGCAGAAGACCAGCCAAGAGCTATTCTGCATAATCAGAACTAGATTTCAAACCAGATGGATGTTATCCATAATGTTATTTGGAGAATAGCATTTTTCAGTTGAATGCACAATAAATTATTGCCTTTAGCTTTGGTTTTGGCTCTGAATGACGGTGGGAGTGGTGTTTTAATTTGTATTACAGTGAGGACAAATAGAAGGCAAAGTGAGAGTCAGACACTAAAACAAGAGAATGAAAATGAGAAACACTGGCACAGTATTTCCCAACAGAACAAGAAGCATGCTGAGAAATCCTATTAAACAGCCATATTTCATTAGAATGTGCTGAAGGAATGTGACCCCAGCCTGAAAACGAGGACACTAAGTTTTCTTATGAGATAAACAGTATTTGAAGTCCTGTGTGCCTTTGGACGTGATTGGGAAATTTTTCCCACCTTGCTTCTCAGTGTATCATATTACCCAAAGTGCAGACAAATGCAACTTTATATAGACTATCGGAAAAGAGAAGGAGTGAAAACCTGTCTGTTCTGGAAGCACCTGACTTTTGATTACCCTGAAAAATCACACTAGTGTAAACACTTTCAGCTCTTGTACATATTGGGTAGAAGAGGACTGGCTATTTCTGACTTTTCTCTTAGTAATGGAGTGCTTCTATCCAGTCACCTCAAAGTACTTTACAACGATAGATAATAAAGATGGAGAGAGCTTTACCAAAGAGTGGGGAAATTTTTGGTTGACATTGGGGAAAATGATCAAGACACAGTATTTCAAAGAAAACATGGATTCTTATTTTTCCATCTCCGCTCCAAACCTGCTGTGACCAGTAAACTGCATTATCTCCATCTGCACAAGAAAGGGAGACCAAGGAAGATTTTCAAGCCAAAATTTTTCAGATTGTGCAATGCTTATATGTTCCAAAAGCTTTCCTTCCAAGTACAGGCCAGTCATAATGTCTGGGTGTAGGAGAGGAGAGGACTCCCTGTAATGTTTGGCTGCATATGCAGGAGGTGTCTGCTCTGTTCGCTTGTTTTTCCTAAGGATGGGCATCATCACTGTCATTTAAAAGTTAGCTGTCAAGGCTCCCCTTGTGTTCTGTGGAGAAAGCTGGGCCCTCCCAGAAGGTGCTTGTACCTTGGACCCCTCCATAAGTATGTCACCAGGTGACTAGTTTAGACTAAGTTGCCCAGCTCTGAGATGGCTGACGGTGGGAGACGAGCATCCTGTCTCCTGCTTCCACTCATTCCTACTGCCCACCCTCCTCAAGGGTCTGAGATATGATGTGTCCCTACAGGGTTAGGTGTTGGGCTGTCCTTGGTAATCCTTGATCTGGCAGTCAGGCGGGGGGGGGTCTTGTGAAAGGTTCAGGTGAAGTCAGGGGAGTTGCTCTGGTATCTCACGGAGGGCAGCAAAGCACAGTTTCTGACCAGTTTCTATCAAAGGGTAAAATCCATCATTCTGAAAATACCACTTCCACATGAGATGAGGAGCCCTACTTTGGCTTTTACTATCAGTATGCTTTATAATAGCTCGATGCATGGCACCTCCTTACAGCCCAGATGAACCTTATATTCAACTCTGTCACCTTTTCAGCGTTTCTCCTTCCCGTTCCCCATCCTTGCCCCACTTTCTGTTGAACATAGGGATGTGGGGTGACTTGAAACGCTGGGCTTTCCAGTGGTGTGATTCACCGAAAAGCTGATTGATTTGTTGTAGTTTGTTAGCAGCAGAAAATGTGCTCTGGTGAGTGTTTGCTGGTGTCCTGCTGTGTCTGTTGCTGTAGACTCTCCTTACAGACACTCAGTGGGTACCTGCTCAGCATGGAGAGATGACACGGCAGCGGGTCTCTGATCCGGAGGAATAACTTGAGCAAGCCTCCCAGTGGTGCTAGTTTTGTCCTGAATGGCTAAGGGGGCGAAGAAAACCAGTGTCTCTTGGTAATTGCCTTTGTCTTCCATCTCAAATCTCATAACAGCATACTCCTTTAGAGCAGGGGCTTCTGGAGAGCTATGGGGTGTGTGGGAGAGATGGCTGGCAGGTGTTCTCTAGCACATGCACAGAGGAAGGCAAAGGAGGAGGCTGGGAATTCACAAGTATGGAGAGGCAGGGGGAGGCTGGAGGGCAAGGAAGAATTTCCTTTTGCACAGTAGGTGTGCTTTGGAGAAGGTCAAGGGGCTCTTCACTGAAGTGTCTGTGACCTGGGAAACAGTGGTGGGGAGGCCGTTGTGCAGAGATCGCACCAGCTAGGCACAGCGTGCTGCTTTCCAGGGGGGAAGACCTCCTGCTTTCCACTCCATCATTACAGCTGCTGCTTTATAGTATTAACTCTTCCTCAGCTGTTTGCAGGGAGACTTCTGCCAGATGAGAGCCAGATGGCTCTGGGACCTGTGTAGGCATTGGGTTGCAGCAGCCGACGAGGGCATTGCAGTGCACAGACTGCACTGTATTTTCCTCTCCACCATCACTACATTCCTCTGCCTCCTTGCCTATTAAAACCAGCTTCTTCCTGCTGCACAAACAGCTCTCTGTTAGTGGTATCCTGTCAGTCAGGGCTAGCAGTGATCCTGCCTCTGATGTTTAGTCTTGAAGGAATATGTGATACAGGAGCAAGAGATTACTCTGGGCTTTGCAACTGCCCTGCCCTCTAAGAAACATAACCAGCACACAGATTTGGAGGAGAGCTGCCAGCAATATGTGAACATAACTGGATGTCTTAAACCACACAACATGTGGCAACCTGTTTGCCAAGAATTAAAATGTTGGTAGGTTTTGACATTGTCTGGATATTGGAGGAATTTTTTAATTCCCTTTGCATATCATTTGTGCAACAGCCTTGAGGTCCATCAGTGCTGTCAAGCTGTTTCTTTTTCTTCATCAGTCTCATGGGTTAGCCAAAACATCCTTATAGTATTCCTAAGCTGTTTACTGACTGAACACCCAGACCCAAATTCTAACTGGGTCATCTGTGTGACTGAAGAGAGTGATGGGAAAATCCCTGGAGCCTGGAGCACTCAATCCAATAACCTGCTGATCTCAGCTGTGCCCCACTGGAGGGAAATGGCACAGCCTCACCTGGGAGATCCCAAGTCCACAGGCTCGTTTCTACCTTTTTTGTCTTCACTATCAGCCACAATGGTCGCAGTTCTTTCCAGCAGGGATGGAAGGTACAGCCCTTTCCCAGCAGAACTTGCAATTCAAGGTTAGGACATATGTTTTGGTTTCTGGAAAGCAGCACAACCAAAGGGGACCTTCAGGAAAGGGTTGCATATGGGACCTTGTGGATATGCTCTAAGGGGAGCAGACCCAGAGGACAGAACTGCAGAAAGCAGAGCAATATGTACTGAGAAGCTGTCAAATGGACGCTTATAAACTGACATGTTGGCAGGACAGATAAGATTACAAAGAATAGCCAGCTGAGAAGGGTACGGAGCTATGAAGAGCTTTCAATGCAGTGCTGATAAAAATCTTGAATTTGATGAGAAGGGAGATGAGGGAAGATGGAAGAGAGATACATATGATCTAATCAAGCAGTGTGATTTTTACTTTCTGTGGATGGATCGCTTTCCATGTTGGGAGAGCTTTCAATGCTTTGCTTTCTGTGGATTGGAAAGAAACCATGGAGGGGTTTCAGATTTTGACAGGTATCTGGATGCCTAGAGATGCAGGACAAAGAATGGCAGGGAAATTGTTAATATAATATGCTTTTGAAAATGCCACTAGTTGCTGATTTTCATGGAGTTTGCCTTCTAGATGCTTCTGGATATCTAGCCCCGTAATTCAGCTAAAGTCAAGCTCCAGGTATTGTTAATACAGGAAACCAGTGCTTTGGAGATGCTGCCCGTACCCAGATTTTCAGTCTCCCCAGTTGTTGGGGTTTACTTGAGGTTTGTGCTCAACCTTTCTCCTCCAGCTTGGAGGCACAGTTCCCTGGTGAAATGGAAGTAACAGCATGTTTCTTCTCTGTCTTCTCACAGAAGTGGAAGATGAAAGGCAGTTTCATTCAACACTTTGTCAGCGGTCTCTGCCTGGAAAACCAGACTGGGAGAGTGGTGACCAACCCTTGCCAAGCAGATGTACCTGGCCAACAGTGGGAGCTGCTACAAGCAACATGATGGTAGCACAGAGATCTCCTTGTTTCTTTGTGCATGAGACTTTGGGAACAGAGGGGGATTGGGAAGGGAGGAATGGTTTTGTATATCTGACCCTAAATGTTTTCATTGTGCCCATCTGCAAGCCACCATTTCAGCTGAGCACTTGGTGTTTTTGAGCTTTTCAAAGAAGCTGGGGGTGAGAGGGACGAGGAGAGTTGTTGAAATCTTCCCATCTGTTGTCTTAAGTTCTCCTTTGTAGCTGATGTCTGTGCACAGCTGTACCCTGAGAGGGGGGAGGACCCAGCCCAATACTCGGAGTGACTAGAACTGCCTTGCAGCTCTCCCCATCCATTCCTTTCTCTGTGTCCAGAGTCTACGACCTTCATTCCAACAGCTTAAACGATGCTTATACAAACATTGGTAGTTCTATGGCTTCCCTGGCTTTTCGCTCTAACATTGTGCATCATTTATGCATGTGTATCTCTCAGTGAGGACTGGCCAGAAGAAGAGTCATCATGATGAGTGGAGGGGCTGGGAAGGAACTCGCAGCCCCTGGGGGCAGATTTGTCACCTCTTTGTGGTGGGCCTGTTCCTTTCTCTGCCCGCAGTAGCCACCCTACAGCCAAATGGGCTGAGGTTGGGAAATGAGGCACAGTGCTGACAAGAGAGCTAGAAAAAGGACAGTCTGTTTTAGCAGCATAACCAGGGATTGTTTTGGGGACTATTCCCTGTTGAATTCTTGCTTCCAGTTTGTTACGGGTAGAAGGCCAGCCCTGCCTCCATGAGTGATCCAAGCCCGCAAGCAGCCCAGCTGGACCTGGGTTCAGGGTACCACACTCCTGCGGAGCTGGTCAGAGACAGGTGCCGACACTTTGGGATGCCGGGGAAGCTGGGAACATTCTCTGGCTGGTCTTCCTGGTGCTACCAGACACTGCCCGCTGCACCCCACACTGGGGGCGATGCACAGAGCTGTGTGGGCGGCGCACACTGACAGCACCACTGCACTTGGCTCAGGTCTGTGGCAGGAGCCCACCCAGTTCCCCGCTGTGAGAGGCAGAAGGGGACAGCCCCTAGGTCATCGCAGGCTTCCTGCTGCTGGCTGGGCTGGAGCACAGCCCTCTCGCTGGCTCTCTGGCTCTGCATGGCCCTTGTGAACACAGCCCAGCATGACAAGCCACCCAATACCTCTGTCTAGTCGCTTTTCCCCCCTCTCTCTCGGAAGAAGCAGGTGAAAAGGCCTGGGGCTGCTCCACTTGCAATGCCCAGCTCTCTTCCCGGTGGGCACCCTGGGGAGGTTAGTTGGTGAAGCTGAAACTGCCCCCTGCACAAATGCTGCCACAGTACAGGCCTGCCTTGAGAGATCTCTCCTTTGTGTTCCGGAAATACCGAAGACAACTGGTGTCTCTAGCTAGCATCCCAGTTCTTCTCCCAGTTACCAGTCAGCTGTAGCTGAGTGTGGGTTTTCAGACTTGCCAGGGGAAGCTTACCTATTAAAAAAAAAAAAAAAAAAAAAAATCCCGACAACATTACCTTTTCCTACTAGATGTGTTAAATTTTCCTCTTGGAGCTGGGTTTTGTAAACCAACCCTCTTCTCCAAGAGCCTGGCAGGGGAACCAGATGGTGGGGCCACCATCAGTAGGCAATTGCTTGCCTGGATCCTTTCTGATCTGGTGTAAAAGAAACAGGATGTTCATTTGGATTCTGAACAGCTGGCTGCTTTTGGTCATGCTTCTGTCCCTTTTTAATTCTTTCTCCTACTTTGGTATTAGCCCAAGCAGTTGACAAAAGAACAGATACTGTTCTTCATACGTTGCATGTGCTCAGAGGTGCTTGTGTGAGAACTGGACGATTTGTTTTCTGTTCTTGGTTCTTTTATTTAAAAAATTAAATCAGCCAGGTGGCAGGAGCTCTCTTCCTGTTTCCCGCTTCACTTTGACATCAGCTCACCATCTTGACACTGATTAGCCAGGTGAATGACCTGCCTGCACTGTGAAAACTCAGGGGTCAGTTCCCTTTGGTCCAAAGCTTACAGCATGGTGCAGCTGCACTTCTGTGTGGGAGTGAGGGCACTGACTCTGCAGAGATTTTTTATGGAGATGCTTTGGGCCTGAACCACTGAGGCCAGGAGAGAGCAGAGAAGGAAAGAAGATAGCCTAGGAACAGAAAGAGGGCAGGGCAGGCAGACCTGTCACGGGGGAGAGATGCCATGCTACTAGCAATTGCTTTTTTAAACAAGAGTATGCAGGAGATGCTACTTCCAGAACAGTATCATTAGGCAGTAGAAGACAGGAACAGTCAAGTTCTCACATACCTGGCTTGAAAAAAGTTGATGCAAAGACAGACGAAAGGCCATTGAGCAGGTACTGTGTGTAAGCTCTGTATACAACGAAGTGCTAAAGGATTACGTATTTTCATCAAAATGCATCCTAAGTGGACCATCTGAACTTCCCCCATTTCACTCTCCAGCAGCTTAAGGGTTGCAGCTAACAGCATGTTCACTCCTCCACCAGGTACTGCTTTCTTCCTCCTTGCTCCTACTGTATGTGTGCAGCTTTCTTGCAGTTCCTTCTTCATAACCGTACTGGGACTAGGACCCAGCTCCTCTACAAACAATTCTCCTGACTGCTGCAGACCACAGGAGCCCTGCTTATACACAGTCTCCAAACCTTGGGCCAGCCCTGGTTCAAAGGGCTCTTGTCAGCACGCTGGCTACTGCCCTTGACTTTGTGCTCGGCTCCAATGTTGGAGATTAGTGACCGCTCCCGGAGCAGAGGTACCTGGACTAGCTGTGTCGATTTATGCCTCTCTTCCTACTGCTCACCGCCTGGAAGAGTGTGAACTGGCATCCATTTGGGGCTGTGAGCGGGGGCAGCTGAAGACTGGACACTCTCCTTCTTCAGGTGCCTCGGCCTGGCGGAGAAAAGGGAAAAGGTAGGCATATGCTAGATGTCAATAACTAAAATTGCCCCTGGAGTTAGGGGCTACCAGAGCCCTGAGTCTACCTGGTTTTGGACATGTTCTCCTGAGGTCACCTCCCCACTGCTTACTCCACTGTCAGCTAAAGCACTGCTCACAGGACCTTCCTGTAGGCCCAAAGCAGACCTCCCCTCACATCATCCTCTGGAAGCCATTGGTTCCCAATGGATTTTAGCAATTGCTGAAAAGGAGGTGCATTACAAAAGGCTGCTGTCAAGTGTGGGCAAACTAAACTTCTCAGAATAAACAAAGTCTTGTCCAAACTCATTATTAGCATGCTTTCCATTTCCCTTGCACTGAAGGGAAGGAGGAACGATGTTATCTGTGCTTTTCTCCCCAAGGTCCACGCAGTGCCACGTTTCGGAACAGGACTCCAGCGGGGTTTTTGAAAGCAAACTGACTGAGCCCTCAAATTTGTCCCAGTGATTTGTTTCTTTAACAGTCAGAACAAGCAGCTGCTCACCCTTGTTTTCCTGTTTACTTTAAACAGCCCCCTAGACCGTCAAGACAGAGCATTTGCATTGGTAATACCTTTTAAGAAAGCTGTTACTGTATCAGATCATCCAATGTAATTTTGTGTGCTGTGAACCCATGGGGGTTTATTTAAGAGCAGCTGAAACTACTGTTGTACAAAAATCAATTTCAAAAGGTTTATTTTCCCTACTCACTTGTAAGCTGCACTTTGCCAGATGTAATTTATGTGGAGCCCAGATTTGTTTTCCCTTTTCTTGAAGAAAGCATGTGCCAGAATCTGTTTAATGCCTGGAATAAAATCCACTTTGAAACAAGTATTTCAGCCTGTTCTTATTCCCTCTTACTCCCTATCAGAAAAAAGCCTCCATCCTTTCTTGCCTGGTCCCTGCCTCTGTCTCTCACCGGGTTTGTCCCCCCAGACACACGTACCTCAGTTCTTTGCATGGGTTCCTGGGTTGCTTCTAGAGGGATACGGCAGGAGCTGGCAGAAAGATTTCTAGGCTACAATGGCATATCAGTTGAAAACGACTGAAGAAGCCCTCCACAGCTGGCTAGGCCGGAAAGTATCCTTTCTGGCAAAAGTTAAGAGCAGCTAATGGACTGGCTTTTACATGCTGAAAGAAATAGCTGAGGGTGGGGGGAATTAATTCTTCCTGTAACTCCCTCCTTGATCTTTTCCTCAGGCTGTCAGCCTGCCTATTCCTTACTGAGCCTCCCAAAGGTCTTTCTTCTGCCTCTATCTTGAAGGCAGGGAAGCCTCACCACCTGCAGATGCCTCCTAGCATGTGTGTTGCTGAGCCTCAGTACTGTGACTCCTCAGGTAAGCTGGTAAGCTTTCCTAATCTCCCCGTATTAAAAAACAAGCCCAGCCAGCAATGTCAATTGGAGGCTTTGGGTTTAAAATCAGGGCTTAACTGACTGCTAGTTCACCTGCAGAGGCTTTTTCAAACTAGGATCAGCTGGGTCTGCCTCTACAGAAAGCAGCTGTGCCAGAGCCTCCCTCTAAGGAAGGAGGGTGAAGGTGTGCTGGAAGTTAGCTGGTGTGGGGGGAAGAAGTGCTTCTCTTCGCTGCCTGGTAACATATCTGGTGTTTGAATGCTGTGGGAACTTGATAAAAAGGAAAAGAGTTGGGGCTTTTTCTCTTAGTGCTGCTTCTGTAGCAGGACATCAGTTGGGCTGTGTCCCTGGAGTCCTGCCATGCACACCCTGAGTGATGAGCTGTAATGCCCTCGAAAGCAGGAGATTCTCGGGCTGTAATGATGGCTGGGAAGCTGGGAAGACTTTAATTAGTCCTGTCTAGGAAAATGAAATGCTGATCTTCTGAAGAGCCAAACTGGGGGCAGGGGGGCAGGGAGGAGAAATGAGTGAGGGATAGGCTCTCCTCTGAGGATGGTAGGGTCAGGCATGCAGTGATCTGGCACATAAATGAAGTAGAGAAGAGTTTGGAGTAGAAACAGTTGCATCAAAGGAGACTAGAACCAAGTGTGGGAAAAATCATAGGGGAGTAATTTCTTTGCAGGAGGTTAAAAACATAGAAGCACCACATCTACAGTGGTCACATAGTTGCGTC